GGGGGGGGGGAAAGAAGCTCCAGAGAACCCCAAAATCTCTTTTGGGGGGGGGGGGGGAATTTGGGGGGGGTCCGTGAATTTGGGGGGGGGGGGGGGGGGGGGGCGTGGCCAGGCCCGGGGGGAGCCCCCGGGGGACGCCCCCGGCCCCCCCCCGGCAGCGGGCGGTGGTTCGGTCGCAGACGCAGCCCCCGGGACAGGCCACGCCCCCTTTGGGGACCCCCCCAAAAACCGGGACCCCCCCAAAAACCCCCGGCAGCCCCCCAAAAAACGAAACCCCCCCAAAAAATAACGGGAGACCCACAAAAACCCCCGGGAGCCCCCCAAAAACCCCCGGCAGTCCCCCAAAAATCAACGGGAGCCCTCCAAAAAACAAAACCTCCCCAAAAATCCCCGGGACCCCCTCGGGAAGCGCCAGAAGTGCCCCGAGAAGGAGCAGGGGAGACATTGTGGGGGAGGAGGGGGGGGGTCCCAAATAAAGGAGGAAATTCCCCAAAAAAATCCCAAAAAAAAGCACATTCACCAAAAAAATCCCCAAAAAATTCCCCAAAAAAAGCACAAAAATTCACAAAAAATCCAAAAAAATCCCCCCAAAATTCCCAAAAAAAGCACAAAAAAGCACAAAAATTCACAAAAAAATCCCCCAAAAATCCCCCCAAAAAATACCCAAAAAAGCACAAAAATTCACAAAAAATTCCCCAAAAATTTCCCCCAAAAGTTCCCCAAAAAAAGCACAAAAAAGCACAAAAATTCACAAAAAACCCCCCAAAAATTCAAAAGAAAGCACAAAAAAGCACAAAAATTCACAAAAAATTTCCCAAAATATCCCCCAAAAAGTTCCCCAAAAAAAGCACAAAAAAGCACAAAAATTCACAAAAAAGTCCCTAAAAAAGTCCCCAAAAAATCCCCCAAGAAATTCCCAAAAAAAGCACAAAAATTCACAAAAATTTCCAAAAAAATCCGCAAAAAACTCCCCCCCAAAAAAAGCACAAAAAAAGCACAAAAATTCACCAAAAAATCCCAAAAAATCCCCCCAAAATTAAAAAAGGCAAAAAAATTCACAAAAAAATCCCCAAAAAATCCCCAAAAATTTCCCCAGAAAAGCACAAAAAAGCACAAAAATTCATAAAAAAATACCAAAAAAAATCCCCTAAAAATTTAAAAAAAACCAAAACACAAAAAAGCAAAAAAATCCCCAAAATTTCCAAAAAATTCAAAAAAAGCACAAAAAAATAAAAAAATTCCCCCCCCAAAAAAATTCTCAAAAAAGCACAAAAAAATTCCTAGAAATTCCCAAAAAAGGGGAAAATTCCCCCCCAAAAAATCCCCAAAATAGCAGCCAAAAATTCCCAAAATTCAAAAAAATTTCCTAAAAGAGCACAGAAATTCAAAAACAAATCCCCCAAAAGCACAAAAAAAATCCCAAAAATTTCCAAAAAACCACAAAAAATATCCTGAAAATTCCCAAAAAAGCACAAAATTTTAAAAAATCCACAAAAAATGCCCCAAAAAAA